CCAAAAAGATTTCTGAAAGGTATAGATGCCGCGGCTTTGTCATCGCCCGGCCCTCAAGTCAATATCGACAAGCTTGTCAAGAACCTAACCGAGAAACTCGGTATGGTTCCACCTGATATAGTACCGGACGAGAAGGTCGTGAAGCTACTCTCGAAGTCTAGCAGTGCGTATGTGGACTTTAAGCTTCTCAACGTCTCTAACTCTAACTCAAATGCAAGGAAAAGATTGAGAACTACTACCACGGGGCTGGTTGCCGGGGTATACGAAGAACCTGAGGATTCCCGCTCGGGCGATAATGGTTCGTTCTCGACACTATGGGGGCTTGGACAGCGTAGTTCGGTAGATATGTCGCAGGCGTATGTCTGGTCGACGAACATACAGCGAGCAACTGCAGCAACATCCTGACATTTCTGTCGTATCAGTGCGAGATGGGCCGCATCGCCCCGTACTCCCCGGCACGTCACGTCACGTGACGCACATGCGGTCGTGGCCGATCGTCAGTTCCGCATGTCAGTCCCTGGCATCTCAGTGTCCAGCACACTGTATATATTTCTCCTAGTCGAACGCATTACAAGGATTCAACACTATTTCTGTATCTTTGAGGCCACTGCGCCCGCCACACCGCATGATGAAACGGTCACCTCATGATGAGGCTGATCAAGCTTAATTAAGGCTTTTTTATTCCCTCAATCCTCTCTGTTGGGTTCCCCTAACCCTATAGGATTGGACATGGTAACAGCTGTGGACATCGACAACGCCTCGTCGCAGTCTGAGTTGACCAAGCTCCGAGGGACATGCCGAGCCCAACACACCAAGAAGCGTCAAGAGCTACTGAGAGTGCGTGAAGACCTCGACACTGCTTTTGAAACCGAGGACCTCACTGCTCAAGAACAGCTCCAAGAACGAGAATGCCAGTTAGAGAGCGATATCTCTCACTACCGGGACCTGATCAACACATGCACGGCCAAGATCGATCACCTTCTGGCGGATGCATCCGTAGGAGCTCAGGCCCTTCTTCCGGCTCCGAGCCCTGGTCTTCCGGTTGCTATTCATGATGAGTCGGTCAACTCACTCGTCACTGTCTTGGCCGACGCACTGGCGAAAGCGACCTCTAGTGTGAAGTCAAACCCTTCGTCGATGGGATCGAGGCCGATGCAGCTGAGTGACGTGTCGAAGCTATCCGTCTCGTCCCGTACCTTGAAGGACGTATCCCTGTTGTCTGTCCACTACAGAAGGATGGAGTCCCTCTTCGTGGCCGCCAACTTCGGTCAAGTCGGGGAGGATGGTCGGTTTACTCCTCACGAGTCCATCAAGGTGGCAGTCATTGAGAAATTCCTCGACACGTTGTCGCCTTTTGCTACACTGGTGAATGAGGCAGCCAGGAACATCGACAGCAACGGTCACAACTGGGTAGCTCTCCGTGAGACTCTCTTGGACAAGTTCTGTAGTCCTGGGGCCATTCGTAAGGAGGTCAGAAAGCGTGTGGGTAAACTGACGTTTCCTGGCGCCGCAAATGTCGACCAGTACATTGACCAGCTCCGTGACATCCGGACTCTACATCTGGGAGCCAACCACAAGTGCACCACACTATCTTCTACTGGAGCGT